CGCAACGGGAGATAACTTGACAATGTGAAATTTGTCGACTGTGGCATGCGATGATCTTTGACCATGTTGACCCTTTTTGAACTTCAACCTAACCATTTGCATTTATTTATTTTTATGCAATCTATGCTAAATCTTGTACTTACCGAATGTCATAGGTCGTGAGAACGAATTCATGAAATATAATCCATATAATCCAATTAAAACACAAATGATTTTAACTGACCACACTGCATCGTCAGCATACATGTGCTAAATAATCTCATTCGACAAACCTTTGATGATTCCTTTGCCAGTATGAATTGGCCGAGGTGTGCCGAGAGGTGATATCTATAAATATGATAATGGGTGACGCAAACCCAATGTGAATGTAGAAAATAAAACTGTTTAGTACAAGAACAAATTTCAAACTATCATAATAAACTAAACTATGTTTTTTAACCAGAAGTCTCTGTCGAGACTGAAGCTCTACTGGTTTGTACTTATAGCAAAGGAAGAGAAAAGTACTTAAGCAGTTGGAAATTGAAACTTTTCAACGGCAATAAATAGAATAATGATCCTTGATTAAGTCTCTTTATGTTCTTAGTGCAGTCTACTTGCATGCCACATTTATAATCAGACTAAAATTGTATTTGGAGTAGCATTTTGAAAGAATTTCACAGAAATTTCTATTTTTAGTAACCACGGAACACCGTTCATCGAAATCAAAAACTGATACACAGAATTATGTATCTTATTGTAGTCTACTTGTGTGCCAAGTTATATTGTAATCAGACTAAAACTGTAGAAGGAGTAGCATTTTGAAAGAATTTCACAGAAATTTCTATTTTTAGTAACCACGGCAACACCGTTCATCGAAATCAAAAACCGATACAGAGAATTATGTATCTTAGTGTAGTCTACTTGTGTGCCAAGTTATATTGAAATCAGACTAAAACTGTAGAAGGAGTAGCATTTTGAAAGAATTTCACAGAAATTTCTATTTTTAGTAACCACGGAACACCGTTCATCGAAATCAAAAACTGATACACAAAATTATGTATCTTATTGTAGTCTACTTGTGTGCAAAGTTATATTGAAATCAGACTAAAACTGTAGAAGGAGTAGCATATTGAAAGAATTTCACAGAAATTTCTATTTTTAGTAACCACGTCAACACCGTTCATCGAAATCAAAAACCGATACACAGAATTATGTATCTTAGTGTAGTCTACTTGTGTGCCAAGTTATATTGAAATCAGACCAAAACTGTAGGAGGAGTAGCATTTTGAAAAATTGTTTACAGACAGACAGACGGACAGACAGACAGACAGACGGACGGACGACGGACGCATTACTATCGCATAAGCTCTTCTGGTCTCTGACCAGTAGAGCTAAAAAATGTGAGGGTGAGAGAGAGTGTGTGTGTGTGTGGGGGGGGGGGGGGAGATAGGCATTTACAAATTAATCGGGTTGTATTTTCAATGGGTTTTTTTCCCGACCAAATACTAAAATCAGTTTGCACATTTTGATAAATTCATCAAAAACGCTTTGTTCTAAAATAATATTTTATGTCGTTGAGAAAGTAAATTTAAAAAGTTCCAAATTATGGGAAAATTATTTATTTGAATCTAATTAAGTAATTTACTTCAATCATTAATTAAATTCTGTTATTTCAGACTGGTTATGAATTAAGTATTTTAAAATACATATGTGAGGCTCAGAGTTGATATGGTCATCTGAAAATTTTATGTTCAATTTGACGAATACATGTACGGTGATAATTATAGAATTATTTTGACTTCTTCCTTGGAAAGTCCAATATGAATGAGTGTATATTTAGAGGCAAACACCATAGTGCGGGTATTACTGTCTCATGACAGCATCTAGTTTTATATTCTGTTTGTTTGTTTGGGTTCAAAAAGTCAACAACGCTTTTCTACAATCTAACATGGCAGTTCGCTAGGCTGATGGACGCTTTCCAACTTATACTGGCAAAGGATACCGCATGAGAGTGGGTGGGTACTAATCAACTAATTTAAACGCTTGTTTTATAAAATGAAACTCGTGATACAAATTGTTCAATTGTCAAATCCAACAGTGTCATCACTCAACGCAACGCTATTTCGGTCGGAGTGTATACTTTCAAGCGAGATTTGCGATAAAAGGGTTAAAGTAATTTTCGTTGATTAAAAAGTAAAATAGTCATTTAAGGGTCCAAAAGAATGAATGAAAAAAATCGACTTATTTATCTTCACGTGCAAGGTAATTATTTAGAAATGCAATCTTATCTTCACGTGCAAGATAATGATTTAGAAATGCAACATTCTGATGTCAACATGCTAGATAATTATGAACTTGAGAGTTTCATATACTGACATGCTAGATAATTATGTTAACATGTGAGTTTCGTGTGTTGACATGACACTCATTATATTGCATGTTGCCATTAATATCTTGCATGTTATAAAAATTGAAATTAAAGATACCACGAAGTCTGATACATCTGTTTCATCCTAGTCTTGGATACACTTTTGTGATATCGAATATGAACTAGAGTTCTTTTCCTTCATTGTTTTTAATTTACATCTTTGACTTTTTCCTCTTAATGCAGCTCTTACCTGGACATGGTGCCCTGAAACACGTCCTTAAATCTCTTAACTTCTCTGTACATGGAGAGCCACCATATTGTGGAGGATGACAGACACGTGATCTAGACATATAACCATTACCACAGGTCACGCTGCACGAAGTCCAGCTGCCCCAATCCCCAGTCCATCCATTTACTCAAAATAATTATTTGATGGCAATCAATGTTACAACACCAAATGTAATAACAACGCAAAATGTAATAAACTGGGATTATTACATTTTGCATCGAGATCAACGCAAAATGTGATAACACAAAATGTGATAACACAATTTTTGGATTATTACATTTTGCGTCGAGATCAACGCAAAATGTAATAACGTGCTTTTTCGTTGTTACATTTTGCGTTATTTTCATTTTGCCTTGAAGACAACGCAAAATGTAATAAAACAATATGTAATATGACAATAAGTAATAAAATAAATATAATTATTTTTTTTGATTGTATTTAGCACAAACAATGAATTGGTCTAAATATATAGAGGATATCTATATGATGTGATTTGATACTGGCTTTTTCCAACGGGTTGAAATGGAGTATATTCATGAGTAGCGAGTATGCGAGCGGATCTAACATCCAATTTTAATTAGATTGTACGTTTTCATACGTTGGGGGGGGGGGGGGGGGGGGGTAACCGTCTCTAAAGTAACCGATACGGATATTTTGCTAAAACTTGACACTTCTTTGAAGTATACAAGTCTTTTCCCTGCTCCTATCGAAATTCTTGCTCATAATCATTTATTTTATAAGGCAAGAATATTTACCAATCAAAGTTTTGATAAATTTGAATCTTGAAGCGACGCGAAGGGATCGTGTCAAAATCGGAAGTCCTGTTGATAAAGCACCTACCCGTGGAAATAAAAACCATAGGTTTATCTCAAGGGTAGTATCATACACACGTATGAGAAAAATACATGTAATCAACGTGGGAACCACGCTTTACAAAATATTTAGAACTATGACAACGAGGTCAAAACGGCTTTTACAAACATTACTAAATCTAAATGTATCTTTTTTAACTTTGACATTTATTTAATGCAGTGTACTTAATTATAAAACATTAAATTACTTGTGATTGACATTTTTTAAAATAAATTAATCTTAATAAATTTCTAACCAATAACATTTCTAATTACCAAAGGTTGATCATAGGTCCATTAAAAGCTCTTGACATGCATGTTCGGCATATGTACATTGGTTAGAAAATTAGAAGTGTGTGTGTGTGTGTGGGTGAGGGTGTGTGTGTGTGTGTGGTGTGTGTGTGAGGGTGTGTGTGTGTGTGTCTGGCAAGAAGGGACAGGAATGGGGTGGGAGTGTTTACTTCGTATGTTGATCATTGTAAAACTATGGACATGCAGAAACAATTCATTTTATGATTGGAGAGAAAGAAAGAGAGAGAGAGAGAATTTTGTTTTTACTGATCTACAATGATTTGTCTGGAACAGCATGGAATCTTCATTGTCAACAAACCCTCTTCTCGCTATATATTTACGCCCGCCAGTACAATGAATAGCTTTTTTCTAGATTTATTGCATTTGTCTATCAGAATGCAAAAGTACACTGGTCAATAAAATTATCCCCCTCCAACAACAACAATACCGCCTTGCACGCACGTTTCTAATTTGCAATACCTATAATTTGATATTAAACTCATTTTAAATACATGTAGCGATATATTATAAATTCGATTTATTGTAATCTGCATAAATCTATTTTTTTCCTTTTGTTTCATTTTCCTCTCTTCTGTCATTACTCTATTGAAAGTTGCACTTAATCTGACTGACCAAAAAAATATGTTATTACATTTTGCGTTCTTGCCGTTTGCTTTATCTCGACGCAAAATGTAACAAGGCAAAATGTAATAATCAAAAAATCGCATTATTACATTTTGCGTTGATCTCGACGCAAAATGTAATAACGCTAAATGTAATAATCCTCAAAAGTGTGTTTTTACATTTTGCTTATTACATTCTGTGTTGATTTCAACGCAAAATGTAATAACGCAAAATATAATAATCAGGGTCTATTATATTTTGCGTTGTTATTATATTCCGTGTTGTAACATTCAAGGGTCCAAAGAAATGAATGAAAAAAATCGACTTATTTATCTTCACGTGCAAGATAATTATTTAGAAATGCAACATTCTGATGTCAACATGCTAGATAATTATGTTAACATGTTTCGTATGTTGACATGCAACTCATTACCTTGCATGTTATAAGAATTGAAATTAAAGATACCACGAAGTCTGATACATCTGTTTCATACTAGTCTTGGATACACTTTCGTTATATCGAATATGAACTAGAGTTATTTTACTTCATTCTTTAAAATTTACATCTTTGACTTTTTCCTCTTAATGCAGCTCTTACCTGGACATGGTGCCCTGAAACACGTCCTTAAATCTCTTAACTTCTCTGTACATGGGGAGCCACCATATTTTGGAGGATGACAGACACGTGATCTAGACATATAACCGTTACCACAGGTCACGCTGCACGAAGTCCAGCTGCCCCAATCCCCAGTCCATCCATTCACTAAAAATGATTATTTGATTGCATTGCTTATTAGTTTTTTAACTAGAATGCTGAATATAAACAAAAAGCCCTCGGGCTTTTAAGGTCACCTTTATAAAGATGTGACATAGCAGTACATTCCAAAGAAAACAAATATGTTCATAAGATTACCCTTTAAAAAAATATGTTATTTGATTATATTTCCATTTCTATTTTTTTTTTCTCTGTGACAACTCTTTGAAAGTTAGCGGAGTTCATTCCTTGATAATTCTACTGGAATATAAATTATGCAGGTCGATGGGTCAGAAGCTAAGGAGGTCTAATTTGCATGCAAATCTCGTGCGCATCTGTCTCTGTGTCTGACGCTAAGGAGGCCAAATATGCATGTAAATCTCGTGCAGCTGCCTTTGTGTTTGACGTCAGTGGGCGAGGACTATTGAAATTGGCATGGGAGTTCTCGAGTTATTTAAATCTATTTCTACATATTTAAAGTCTAAATCTTCAATTTTATTTCACAAGAATGAAATGGAAATATAAGGAATCACTGTCTAGTTATTATAGTCTGCCAGGGAAATCAACGATTTTGGGACAATATGGGATAATTTATGCATAAGGGGATTCGCCCGTAATGCAAATTATCCCATGTTTCCCACTATCGTTGATGCCCTGGCATACTATACTAACTAGACAGTGATTCCTTAAATAAATTAATTAAAGTGTATTAACCTGGACAGTATTTATCATGACAATATTTGCTGTCTTCCAAATCTCCGTTGCATTGTAAGCCTCCATACTGTGGTTGATGACAGACACGTGACCTTGTCTGTTGGCCCCACCCACATGTCTGACTACAGGAAGTCCAGCTACTCCAGTCACTCAGATAACCATCAACTTAAAAATGTTTCAATTTGGAGTCATTCTTAATATTTTTAAATATACGAAAAACTTATTAATAATGAAATGCAAAAATTAAAATAAAAAACATTACTTTAGTTAGTATCTCAAGGTCGAAAATACTTGTGTAACATTTTTCCTGAAAATTGAAATAATATACTTGGACAAGGTTGTGTGTGGCTGCAAGCTTCTGTCCTTGAAGATGACCCCTGACATGACCCTGACCCCATACATCTTCTGGTAGAGGTCCTTGTTCCACCTGATCCACAAGTCACACTACAAGAACCCCAAGTACTCCACTGTCCCCAAAAAGCAGCCTCTAAAGAAGGTAATAGTATTTACAAGGATGGGTGACTTTTTGTGAAAGAGTACTTAAAGTTCTTCTATTTCATTTTTTGAAAATTTATATTTCTGTTAAATTTAAATTTTCAAATAGTAATTTCATTTGCAAATTTTATTTTTATAATATCTAAATACTCAGTAATTCCGTCTTCGTTGAATATCAATAAAATTGATTGTTTTTGACAATTAATCTATACAGATAAATGGGACGCCATTACTGTAATCATAAAGATGTGGGTTTTTTTTTTTTACATTCCATCTTATGCTTTTTCTAATCCCTTGAGTAAAATAGGACTTTCCCCTCTGTGGAAGAAAAAATGACAAGTTTACAGACGCAAGACACTCTTTGATCAGCTCTCTTGAGTCCTTGGCTTAATTGTATGAACTGGAAGATTCTCACTTATAATCGATTGAGTTCCTTCCCCACAGGAACCCCCTAACGCTTGGGACATACATTTCACAACTTGAAAGAGGCATCTTTGCTCATCATAACAATGCATTTGATTTATCTGCTGCATACCCAGGTGCAGCAAAAAAAACGTTCAAAGAATTTGTGCATATTTACGTATTGATAAATAGCCCCATCCTTACATCAGAATCTCTTAGCAAGGGCCCAAGGAATTTACAATTTTGGAAGAGATACTCTTGCTTATCATAACTATGCATTAAAATTGTTTGCTGAATACCCAGAAACATAGAAGAAAATTTTCAAAACATTAAGTCATTAAAATATATTAGCAATGGACATCCCTTGGCTGAATCTTTGACCAAAGGACACACTTCTTAACTACCAGAATCCATTTAGATGAGATTTTGGTAGAGGTAGTGCTCATAACAACCATGCCAACAGATTGACTGATTGATTCCCGGCAGGAGTAAAGATGATTTTTAAAGATTGTATTACACTTGATGGTTGAAGCCCAACCCCTCCGCCCTACCCTTCCGACAAATTCTTTAAAAAACTGTATCATCTGTCTTTAATTTAATTTAATTATGCTTTGTGCAAAAACTGTTTGAAATTGGTTCACTGATTTCAGAGAAGAAGCTGATCTTGTTCAGAGGTTAGCGACCGACCCAATTCGCACGACGGACGATAACGTACAAAAACGTAAAGCAGTAGGTTTCCTTGGTTACTCAGGTGGAATAGGTCACCTGAATTACTCAGGTGACTAGGGCTGTGTATTGAGCAAAAAATTTCGATACGATACGATACAATATTTTTTAAAGCGATATGCGATATATTGGATTCTAAAACAGGTCCATCAAAAAAGGCTTATTAATCATTTAATGCATGTATTTCATAAAAAATAGTGTTTTATTACCCATTTCAAAGTTCTTATCCCATAGTCAGTATAAAACACTTCCAATCGAAATTTTAAAGACTGTAAAAATCAACATGTTAAAAGTAAACTGTTATGCAATATATAATAACTATAAAAACTGTGTTATTTCTTTAATAAATCTATAATTATTGATCAGCTTTAATTCAAAAAAGTTAAATATAATCTTTGCTTATTAAAATTCCCATCTTTTTAGCATAATTAGAAGAAAAACTGCTTGTCCGATACGTATTGGAAGTAATTTTTCGATTTGATATTTTTCTTGAATATTGATACGTATCGATATATTGATACAACCCTACAGGTGACCTGATAAAAATAATGGCAATTAGTTTGACCTAGATTGATAGAAATTCTTACTTTTTCTGACATGGCAGCAACCAACATGAAATGCGTTGAATTGACAGTAAGCTTCCTCATCACTCGCCACCTGCATCATGTTTTTACAACGTGCGTGGGACATACATATTATACCAGCAACAGCTGTAAATGAAAAAGAAAGAATGAAAAAGCATTCATAATTCAAACCCCTCCCATATTACATTTTGGACAGCAGACATTTTTAATATAGGATTAAACGTTCTTTTTGAAAAATTTATCGATGTGTAAACTCTTGACATTTTACTCACAAACTAAATAAAAGTGCGAAGCACTTTTATGTTAAGTTTGTGAGTAAAATGTCAAGAGTTTACACATCGATAAATTTTTCAAAAAGAACGTTTAATTCTTATAATTCCAATATCGAATTTTAAAAAATATTTGAATTATTTCTCTTTGAGGCCTCCATACAATCCCTTATTTCTGGACGGCGTAGGAATACATTTTATCGCAAAGGAACGTAATCGAGATGAATTTCGATAGAGTTCATCTTTAAGTTGTCAAAACAATCGATAAAGAAACTTATAAAGACTTACCGAATATTGTTTAAGTCAACAAATATCGTAATTACGAGTTTACTTCAGAATAGTTCGTCCTTGACCATGGCCATGTTGACATGAACGACAACTCTCATAGCGAAAGTTGCAGACCGACGACGCCTTCGATTTGCACTTGTTTGTTAAAAGATTGCGGAACAATATAGAAAGTAAATATGAATTTGATGCTAATATGGCAAGAGTTTGAGGTACGTTTCGTTTCCCTGTCAAAACGATACAAACTGAGCTAATTTTCTTCGTATTATGAACGTCGAGACAGCGTTTTTTTTAAATTCACACTGCATGGTGATCGGACAGTGACATAAACATTTTCATGGCGTCCGTCAGCTGGGCAATCCAGTTTGTCGCCAGTTTTGTTTTAATTAATTAAATTTGAAGTTTTTTGTATTCATAATTTAGCCAAAACAGACCAGAAATAACTGCTTTCATTCAATCATTGTTTATACGATATCCTAGAAGCTTTATCAAGAAAGTAGTTCTGATTGAAAAATTTTATCGATGTGTAAATTTTTTCTTAAATTTGTTCTCGTCCAATCAAAACACAGGAAATCAATACATAAAATGAAGATTGGAATTATACTTGTTTATTAAATTGCAGTGTTTGATTATGAATTTTCAAAAATAAATTTGATTTAGAGTATACATTTGTTTATGGTTTTGCTTTATGTCTCATAGAGATTCTGTGCGCCAATAGCTTTCACGATTACATCAACATGGCTTTGCCTTAATTGACTCTTTTCTTTTTTCCATCTGGCTTTTGCATTATTTTCCAATCCAAACAACATAGATTTATGAATATCTAATTTATACATTTTTAAAAAAAATTTCTTTTGGCATGCGTGTTGTTACCTGACAGAGTATCGAAAAGGCATATTGCAACGAAGAGCACATGATATTTGTCCATACGTGGACGCATGTATATTCCTTGGTGGTTTTCTACTTATCGATGTGTTATCTTACTGAAAATTTCTTTTATTGCACCATAATCATTGCCATTTTCTAGTAACGAAAGATAAGGTTAAAGCCCGAGAAAATAAGAAACGTCTCCTTTACAAGTTCTCAGGATCAGGATTGAAGCAGTTTTAGAACTGAGATAAAATTTCAGTCATTCATCATGTTCATATGAAAGTGGATATTGGATATATATTATACAATTATGGACTCCTTCGGTTGTGAATTTGATTTTAGAAATTAAGGGCAAAGGAAATAAATTCCAATAGCCTTTGAAATTCTTCTTGTTCTAGAATATCCTTGAGAATATAATGTACATATTCTGACTTACATTTACGACCGCATTTTATCCTGGGTCTTGATCTCCAAACAAACAAAATCCGGGACCGAATGCTAGGGACCGATTGACATTTTGTTATTAATGAATGCTTTATCTTTGAACCAAGATTAAGCCTTAAAATAATATCAGTTATTTTCCTTGTAAACATATCAAATAGCAACTGTCTTGTTAAATACAAACTACAGAGGTCTGCAACTTACTTTTCCAATTACAGTGAAAACTGTCTAATCCGACACATGTGTATTCCGTCACGCTGTGAATTCCGACGATTAATTTCTTTCCCATTTTACCATTCACTATGTTATTTTTTCACTGAGCAATCCGACACCCTGTCTATTCTGACACAAAATTTATCTCCCAGTGCATGTTGGATTAGACAGGTTTCACTGTATATCTATTTATCTATCTATCCAGCAATCCATCTATTTCATTTGCAGCAAAAATTTGTGCTGGAATTATTTTCTTTTACATATGAATATGATTTGATTGTTATTATAGCATTTCAATGATCAGACACTTCTAAAAAATTTATGAGTAACTTTGTCATCAATTGTAATCATTAAAAATAGCCGAATTTAATCCAATTTCATTAGAATTTAACATTTCCTAACATATGTAACACCCCAAATTTAATATGCATATCTTTCAATTAGCAAAACCTATATTTGACAAAATTATTCATCACATGTCTTCTGTAGGTCACACGGACTGGCATTATTTAAATGCATTGCGAAAGCACAAATTTTAATTTAAAATTAGATTCATTGCAAAAAAGCCCAAATTGTAATATACAGGTATTCTTCCACTGCAAACACCTAAATTGTAATTTATACTTTTATTGCAAAAGCCAAAATTCTAATATATATACTTTCATTGCACAAGCCCATTTTTGTAATTTATACCTTCATTGCAAAGGCCCAAATTGTAATGTATATTTTCTTTGCAAAAGCCCAAATTGTAATTACATGTATTACTTTCATTTCAGCAAAGCACTAAATGTAATATATATACTTTCATTTCAAAAGCAAAAGTCCATATTGTTATATATACTTTCCTTGCAAAAGCCCAAATTGTAGTTTATATTTTTTCCATTGCAAAAGCCCAAATTATAATATATACTTTTCTTGCACAAGCTCAAGTTTGTAATTGATATCTTCATTGCAAAGGTCCAAACTGTAATACTAGTAGTATATATTTTATTTGCAAAAGCCCAAATTGTAATTACATGTATTACTTTCACTGCAGCAAAGCACTAAATGTAATATATACTTTCATTGCAAAGGGCCTAATTACAATATATTCTGTCATTGCAAAAGTCCAAATTGCAAAATATCATTGCAAAAGCCCAAATTGCAATATAAACTTTCATTGCAAAAGCCCAAATTGAAATAGTCGCCTGTGTGGCGCAGTGGTTAGAGTGTCTGCTCTAGAGTCGCGAAGTAAGGAGTTGATCCTTCCGTCGCGGGTTCGAATCCCACTGTGGGACGTGGAGACCGGTCCTTCGGATGAGACCATATAAACCGAGATCCTAAGTCGCAGCAGCTAGGTGCAGGCACAAAAAAGATTCCTCCCTGCTTAATGGCCCTGAATACCGAGTATAGGACAAAATTTGCAGCTCTCCATTGACAAGTGGTGGCGTCTCCATATGAGTGAAAATTTTTCGAGAGGAACGTTAAACAACATACAATCAATTAATAATACACTTTCTTAGCAAGAGCACAAATTTTAATACACACTTTCTTGGCAAAAGTCCAAAGTGTTATTTAGACTTTCTTTGCAAAAGCCCAAATTGTAATACATGTACATATTTTCTTTGCAAGAGCACAAATTGTAATGTATACTTTCTTGTCAAAAGCCCAAATTGTAACATATACTTTCATTGCAAAAATACAAATTGTGCTTTAGACTTTCTTTTCAAAAGCCCAAATTGTAATACACTGTCCTTGCAAAGGCCAATATTGTATAATATATACCTTATATTATATGAAAGTCCAAACTGTAATTATACTAGAATCACAGAATGTAGGAATTCCTGACCTTCACATTTTATTTTGTGAAAGAGTACATTTTTATTCTTTTCCAAGACTTGCATATCTAATATCTACAGCAGAAACAACAGAACTACAGTCTATATCCCAATATATTTTCTAAGACATTCTCTATCATCACAGCAGTAGATTTCTGAGTTGTGTAAAAATGTGGTCATGAAATGACAGTCTTGACTCTGTAATGAAATTACATGTACACATTTATTCATCTCAAAAATTGCAAATTATTTACTACAGAACAGACTTTATTCATAAATAATATAATTTAACTATGACCGTTAAGTAAAGAGTAACTTACTAGGATACAATGTACAGTGAATTGAAATCCGTGACCTGTCACAGCCCTCACCATGCATGATTCTGATGCTGAACAGGTCTGGTTCCAAACACAGTTCAGGTTTTCATCGCATGAGGGACAAGGCTTGCCTAATCAAAGTTAGGGGCACAGTGTATTTTTTACAATGTATATGCATGTAATTCCGCTAATTCAACATTAATTTACTGTATTACGAAGCACATTTTCAGAAAATAGTTCAGTACCTGGTACATTAGTGGTAGCTGAAGTGGTTGTTGTTGAAGTTGTGGTAGTGGCTAAAACCAAAAAGGCAAATAATACGCAGTAGTCAGTGTCTTCATATCTTGAATTAAAAGAACTAGGCAGAATTGATATGTTTTACTACTTAAAATAAACTACAACCATTTGATTAGTTTTTGCCAAAAAAAAAAGTGTAAACATTACAAAAGCAAATGACAACGTTAACATATCGTATTTTGCTATGGTCTTACTTGTACAAGAATGGGAGCAAGCCTGGTTATCTCTGACATAACCCGAACAGTAGGATCCTCCATAGGCTGGGGGAGGGTTGTTACACTCCCGGTGTCTCTGCCTCGTTCCTTTACCACACGATACACTGCATGGAGACCAGGCAAGCCAATGTCCCCAGTGGCCGTCTCCTTAAAATATACATTAACTTGAATAAATAAAAATGGTAAATATCGCAAGAGATGCTCACTCCTCCATTGCAACTTATCCTAATTCAGATGTTTTAGAGGACCATATTTGGTATGGTTCTAATTTGTATTGTTTGAATAGACTTCTGAGATTGAATACTCCTCCTTGCCTCCATATATTTCACGTACTTAAATAAAAATTTCAGCGAGGCGAAAATTTAGCGATATGTCCTTGAAATTACTACATAAATTAGCGAGAAGTAATATTAGCGTTTTTTTTTTGTGTGCCATACAAATAAAACGGTAACCTCTACTGCAGAATAAATTGATTCCAATGTTTCTTTTTAGCGATCTCAACACCCTTTCTGCTTAATAAATACGGTATATGATTTAATTGATATGGAAAAATATATAAAGTTTGCAAATGCCATGCAGTGAGCAAATTAACCCATTTGAGGTAAATACACACGTGGACAATGTGATGAAGTTGCACGGCACACCTCTCCTTGGAGGTGGTTACCGACACAAAAATCGTGGCTGGTGCCGCTCTTTGCACAATTCCGCTGCCTTGTTCGCGAACCCGACGTAGCGCCACACGTTACGCTGCATTGACTCCATGCGGTCCACGTCGACCATATTGCATCAGCTTTAAAAGTAAAAAGATTTAATGGTTTATAGTTTTAACAGAGAAAATGCCTACAATACATGACCTAATTAGGTAAAGTTACATACATACATGTAGCAGGACGCAGAAACAGTTAAACTGAACATTTTTTAATACTCACATTGGCTGCATTTGCATTGGCTGAATAAAATGGTAGCGCAGTATGGGGCGTACCCAGCAGGACACTGTATACCTCCACAATCATCGTGATTTGTACAGGGTATAGCGCCATAGCAACCTGCAAAAAAAAAATTTGCTGGCAATGGAAGATTGTATCTACAGTAGTGCGCTTATTGTGCTGTGAAGCAAATTATTATGACCTTTTGCACTGCTATTACGTCCTTAACACATAAATCACAGTTTTTTTATGTCCCCGTAAACGAAGTTTCGGGGGTATATAGTTTTTGTCGTGTCCGTCCGTCTGTCTGTTTGTCTGTTTGTCCGCAAAAACTTTAACCTTCCTCATAACTTTTGATTTAGTGGAGCTATGACTTTCATATTTCACATGTGTATTCCTTGTGAAAAGACCTTTCTTTGGGTACCACCAAATTTGACCTTTTGACCTTGACGTTGGAGTTTGACCCACTTTTACACAAAAATTCCCAACTTTTACTTTGGCCATATCTTTTAAACAGTAGATACCATGACATTTTTACTTCACATATGTATTCTTTGTAATAAGACCTTTCATTGGATACCAACAATCTTGTTCTTTTGACCTTGACGATTTCCGTACTTATGAAAAAACTTTAACCTTGGTCATAACTTTTGAACGGTAAGGGATAGGGCTTTCATACTTCACATAATTATGTAATCCTTGTGAGAAGACCCTTCATTGGATACCAAGAACTTTGATCCGTTGACTTGACCTTTGAGTTTGACCTACTTTTAAAAAGCAAACCTTGACCATAATTTTTAAAGGGTTAGGGCTAGTGCTTTCATACCTTATATATTTAATCCTTGTGACAAGACATTTGACCTTGACCTTGAAGCTTGGCCTACTTTTTAAAATTTTTAACCGTAGCCATAACTTCTGAACGGTTAGGACTAAGGCTTCCATTCTTTACATATGTATTCATTGTGGCGTGACTTTCATTGAATACCAATTACCTTGACCTTTTGACCTTGACCTTGGAGATTTTAGTACTTATGAAAAAACTTTGACCGTGGCCATAAGTTTTGAACAGTAAGGGCTACATGTAGTGATCTCATACTTCACACATGTAATCCTTGTGAGAAGACCATTCATTGGATACCAACATCTTTGACCCGTTGACCTACTTTTAAAAAGCAAACCTTGACCATATAACTTTTAAAGGGTTAGGGCTTGTGCTTTCATACTTTAAACATTTAATCCTTGTGACAAGACCTTTCTTTTGATAGCAAGAGCTTTGACCTTGGAGTTTGACCTACTTTTCAATTTTTTTTAACCTTGGCCATAACTTTTAAAGGGTTAGGGCTAGGGCTTCCATATTTCATATATGTATTTTTGTGGCAAGACCTTTCATTGGATACCAATTACCTTGACCTTTTGAAAACTTTCGTACTTATGAAAAAACTTTAACCTTGGCCATAACTTTTCAACGCTAAGGGCTAGTGATCTCATACTTCACATATGTAATGCTTGTGAAAAGACCTCATTGAAAACCAAGAACTTTGACCTTAACTTTGGGGTTTGACCCACTTTTAAAAAGCAAACCTTGACCATAACTTTTAAAGTGATAGGGCTAGTGCTTTCATACTTTACATATTTAATC